CGGGCGTGTCGCGAAGGCCGCGGGGGCCCGGGGCTGCACCCTCCCCCGGTGGTCCTCAGCGAGCACGCCTCGCTCTGTCTCCGCGCAGGTGTCCGCGGGCAGCCCCCGCCCCCCGCCTGGCTTTTCCAGCTGCCTGACGCTTGCTCCCCACAGGGACACCCCACGCCCGGCGGCCGCTCTGTGGGGCGGGGCTCTGTTCCTTCGCTGCTGCGTCCCCTCTGTTGGGACAGGGCCTGGCGCGCAGCAGGTGCTCGGTCAACAGGTCCTGGATGTCCAGCGAGACGCCTGACTTCCCCGTGCCTGTTCCCTCGGCTGTAAAGTGGACAGAAGGGCTGTTGTGAGGACCCGACGGGCCAGTATCTGTAAAGTGCTTGGAAGGACAGCCAGTCCTGCAGAGTGGCTGGTAGGAGGAGTGGTGGCCGAAGGAGAGTCCTCCCGCCGGGCAGGGCGTGCAGCTGGCAGAAGGGATGCCTGGGGGGGTTAGCACAGCTCCCATGCCCGCACCACCACCTGGCACGGGCCCATGGCCCTCTCAGCCTCAGTTTCCTCACCTAACCCGGGGGGTGGAATCCCCACGCGTGGGCAAGACTGAGCTGGCTGGTGGGCAGGAGCCCAGGTCTTGCGGTCTTGCCCTGGTCTCTGTCAAGTGGAGACCCAAGGAGACAACAGAAGTGAAACTCATCAGCACAGTGCCTGGCACATGGCGAGCACCTCCAAAAACGGAAGCTACCAGGTGACACTTGGCAGCTAGTCCCAACTACTTGCGTGGTATTTAGACAGTAAACTTTCATTTGTTCTGCATTACCCATCTCACTCAGTGGCACCCCTCCTCCACTCTCTGAGGCCCTGTTTCCTGAGTGGTGTCCGGAAGGAGCTGCACCCCAAGCTCTGGTTCCTTATTTAGATGTATGTTCTCCGATGTATCCTAAGGGAAAAGAAACCCCGTGCTCTCCCAGCTGCCACCAGAGTGGTTTATAAAAGGCAAATCTTGCCCCGCAGGCGTGGCTCAGTGGCATGAGCGTGGACCTATAGACCAAGAGTTCAATTCCCCGGTCAGGGCACATGCCCAGGCTGCAGGCTCAGTCCCCAGCAGGGGGTGTGCAGGAGGCAGCCGATCAATGTTTCTGTCTGTCTATTCCTCTCCCTTTGTCTCCAAAATTAATAAAAATGGCGAATCTTACCAGGCCACTCACCGGCTCAACAACTTCCATTTGCTTCCTTGGGGTGTCGTCTACGTGGCGGACCAGGGCTTCTCTACTTTCCTGAGGTTGAGCAAACCCCCTGCCCTCCCGGTATCTGCCGTTTCGCTTACTTTCTCTTGTTTAATTAGAGTCAGTACATGTCTACGACCTGAAAACTTCCGTAATTCATATGTTGGCAAAGCCCGTCCTGACCTCAGCTCACTTGCCGACAAAAGTCTGCGCCGCGGCTACTTGGTGTTCATTCTGCAGGAGCGTGTGCCCTGTGTTCCCCTCGGAGCTGGGAATGCCTGGAGTGGGGGGCAGCGCCAGGCCCTTCGGGGACTGTAACCTCACACACAGCCACGTACCTTCCCTAAAATCTGAACCATCTCCCCCAAAGTTCTCGTAAGGAACTGTGGGCCTTAGAGTCTTCAGCCCTTGGGCCAGACGGCCTGGGGCCGGGTCCAGGGGTGCCAACTCACTGGCTGTGAGGCGCTAGCACTGAGCCTCTCTGTGCCTCAGTTTCCCCACCTGGGGGGATGGCCCTAGTACCCACCCTCCTGGGGTGGCTGCACAATCCCCAGGGTGAGGTCCCCCCACACCGAGGCGGGCGAACATTGGGGTCCTCACTGCACAAGGGGTCCCAGCGCAGGGCGCTGAGGGCGCAGCTCAAGCCTCTTCGCCCAGCTGGTTCCAAGGCGCCAGGAGGGCGAGGCTGTGCCAAGCGGCTCCCCCATCAAAATCAATGTTTGTAAAGCTTCCCCTTTATTTTTATTTTATTTTATTTTATTTTAAAAAAAATTTTTTAAATATATCTTTATTGATTTCAGAGAGAGGGCAGCAGAGGGAGAGAGATACAGAAACACCAATGATGAGAGAGTCATTGGGGATGGAGCCCGCAACCCGGGCATGTGCCCTGACAGGGAATCGAACCTCGATCTCCTGGATCCTAGGTCGATGCTCAACCGCTGAGCCACGCCCAGCTGGGCTCCCCCTTTATTTTAATACCCATATGAATTCTGCTTTCCATTTCCGTGTACCTGTCTCCCCCCAAAATGTTACCGAAAAACGGGTTCTCTGTAAAGACGCGCCTTGTTTTCACCCACTGGCCCCAGAGCCCCAGGCGCGCAGCGAGGGCCCCGAGGACCCAGTTTGGAGGCCAAACGACCGCGGACTCTGCCTCCGCGACACCGCCCCTTTCTGGCAGGTGCCCCCCGAGCCCAAACCCGGGGTCTGCGAGCGGGGGGGACCACGCCCCTTCCGGGAATAGCCCCGCCCCTGGAAGCCCCGCCCCCTGGCGCAGGGCCGGCCGGGGC